TCTCCATGGTCTCTCTTTGGGTCCTCAAACATTGCTCCTTCCCACTACCAGGCCTTTACACATGGTGTCCCCTCTGTCTAGAAATGCCTATGTGGTCCCTTACTTCAGTTGGCCCACTCATTCTTCGAATGGAGGTTCCAGTTTCATTTCCGTGGAACACCTTCCTTTGATGAGCTCAAATCTTCCTCTCTTCCCCTCTCCTACCTATCTGCCCAACCTAACTACACTTCTCCTTTGAGCACTCACGCTGCAGTTGGTTATGCATCTCTGTGTAATCATCCTGTTAATATTTGTCTCCCACACTAGACTTCAAGCTCCTTGAGGTCTAGGACCTTGTTTGTATTTTCATTGCTATGTCCCCAGTGCCTAACACATAGCAGGTACTTGATAAATATTTCTTTAGTTCTTTATTGAGTCTCTCGTCCAGCTCTGTGTATCTAACTCCCTATATGGAAAAAGAGGGAGAGTGTCACCTCACAAGGAACGAACACCTTCATCTGAGTGGAGCATCAAAAGGCACTGCCTAGAGCTGATGGAAAAAGAACTAGAAATCTAAGGATAGTCATTAAAAGTTGTAAAAGCAATCTATAAAAGAACTAAAAATTGTGAAATGAATGTATGGAAGGATGTGGAAAGGGAGGTGTTTATAAGCCAAACTTCTTCTACAAAGTTGGTGGATAATATTTAAGTTAGTAAGTATAAACATAACAATATATGCACAGTATTCAGAGAAAGTTCTAATGTAGTAGAGAGTATCTATTCTCTGTCTTTCTAAATTCTGGAAGTTTCAGCTAGACATATGGCTGCCTGGCTAAAAACTACACTTCCTGGACTCCTTTGCAGCTAAACATGTCCATGTGACTAAATTCTAGCAAACAGAATTTAGTGAAGTGATAAGTGCATCTTCCAGATTGTACCCTTAAAAGGAAAGGAAAGTGGTCTCCCCTTCCTGATGACTGGAATATGGAAATGGCCGTAGGAACAGGAGCAAGTATCTCAAACCACAAGAGGAAGCCTCGTACATGTTAAGAACAGCAGAGTAATAGAAAAAGCCTGAATCCCTGACACTATAAATCCACCATATCAGCCTTGGAATGTCAACATGCACACTACTAATTGAAAGAAACCTTCTTTTAGATTAAGCTGTTGTTACTGGCCTTTCTTGTAGCAGCCAAATAAATACAATAACTAATACAGAATTGGTACCCAACAGTAAAGCTCCAGGAAGCAAGGATCCAGATATCACAGGCCAGAAAGCTGATTATTCTTCACATATCAAAGCAAAAAAGTTGGTAAAACATCACCTGTGACACTCAGAAGGCAGACCATGTGCTGAAAGCGCCTATAATTAAAGGGAAAAACCGAGTATGTCCTAAACATTGGTGTATGTGGCTTCTTTTTCAGGAACCTCCAACAAAAGAGAGATGAGCTCCAGAGGAGTGAGACCATGCACAAGCAGAGCTGAACAGGAAAACTCTCAAACTGTAGTTGATAGTCCCAGTTGACTGAGAACCCCCATTTTAGGGGTTCTGAAGAAACAGCCTCAGCAGGAGATAAGACTGTGGCCCTAACTTTCCTAATCACCATTCACTTTTCTCAGTTCCACCACTAAACCTCAGAAGGAATTCTAGATGGACACGGAGAGCCCAGAGGCAAAAGTCAAATTAAGAGTGATTCCTGCCCATGCAGGGAATCATTTCAGGTGGCCTCAAGGGAGGCTCCAGGTAAGTATATTAAATTAGGAGAGGCAAGGCAGGTCTGAGCACAAGGATGCAGGCCACTAAATGGAAGATCAAACATTCCAGAGTTAAAAAAGGAACAACATTCCAGAGTCAAGAGCTAAGATATCTTCAGGCTGGATCAGAACTGATTAGGAGCCAAGAGACCAGAAATTCCTAGTTTTTTGACAGAATTTTATTGCCAAAAAACTAAGGTACGGAGAGGCAAGATAATTAAAACGTTAATTAAGCTACATTCAGAGACTGCAATATGCTGACAAGCCCAGCAGCCAGGCCAAGAGAACACCTGCAGAACAAAGGAAGATTTCTGCTGGGATAGCGAACGACCCATTCCCCACACCTGTGGAAGGGGAAACAGGAACAACAGTCTTTAAGTGGTGCCCTACACAAATAAAATTATTCATTCCCTATGGCAAAAACTATGAAGAACCTATCTATGGCTTAAAGTCTGGGAACAGTAGCCAGCAGGACTTTCAGGCTACTTACTCTTCTCCTTCCCCTTCCTCACTGTACATCCATATCAAAGGAAATAAGAACTAAAGAATAAATTCCCCAAACACTCAGGGTCCCTCTTGCTGTCCCTCCCACTGACCCTCTCACTCTCTGCCTCTGAGCAGAGACCACACTCTATTTGTGGAGTGTTATCCCTTTCCTAATAAACTTGCCTTTTGATTCTAACTTTGGTGTGTGCTGAATTCTTTCTACACTCTTTGCCAAAGGACCCTCTTCTCTCGGTGTAGGCCTTGGTCTCCGCCCACTCAGGGGAATGTGCCCTGTCCTGCATCAAAACCACAGACCTGGTGTGAGAAAAGATTATAATTATTTGATCCCTATAGCTCTCTTCAGGCCCCCAAACACACACCAGCAGGAAGTGGGCTGTGAAAGCCGTGTAGCCCTCCACAAGGGCAGACTCTCTCCAATTCCCACTTCCGATGAGGCCACAAAGAATGAAGAATAGGGGAGCTCTTTGCAATGCCCACCCCAAACCAACCCCCTCAAGACAGAGCCGGAAGTTAGAGAACCAGGTGTTAGAGCAGTGGTTCTTAAACCTTCATCTGCATCAGAATCCTTTGGAATTGGGCCCCACCCCTGGAATTTCTGAATCCGCAGATAAGGTAAAGCCCAAGAATTTGCACTTCTAACAAGTTCCCAGGTAAGCCCAGAAATTGAAAACACACTTTGAGAATCACTGGTTTACTGAGAACAAAGGGATGCTAGGAGAACCAAACAAAGGACTTACTCCCCTAACCAAGGGACATTTTACAATTCCTGTCAGCCACATATGCCAACTACTATAGACAAGTAACTACAGCATGTTACTGGTTTCGAATGTGAGTTTTGACTGTGGCTTCTTGTTTGGATTCCACCATTGCCTTTTGGGGTGTAGGTGTGTTGGGGGAAGGGGAGTAGGTAACCTCTCTTTGGTTGAGAGGTACTAGATCAGAGGCTCATAGAGAAGACGAAGCATCACTCACAGATCCTGGGCCTTAAACTAAAGGAAGGAACTGATGAGGACTCCAGGCCTATCTTCCTAGGGGAAAGGATAAGCATGTTTGATGTGTGGGAAGACAGGTGTATATGGATATTTGAGGAGGGGATTGTAGGCAGACTGCTGTCCCTCCAATATTTATACCCTCCTCTTCTAGAGTAATAGAAGCTTTACATGTGCACATAACATTCCAGCTAAAGATTACATTTCCCAGCCTTCCTTGCAACTAGGTGTGATCTCGTGACTAGGTCTTGGCCAATGGCTCGTGAAGGGAAGTTAGGTGTACAGCTTCCAGGGCATGCCCTTCTTGCTGGCTGGAATGTGCATGTGGAGGTACAGGGTAGCCATCTCAGGTATGAGTCAGCAGCCAGGTGTCCAAGATGGCAGAGCAATGAAAAAGAAAGCACCTGGTCCTCAACACCATGGGGAGCTTGGACTGTCACAGGAGAGAGAAATACACGTCTATCTTAGTTAACTCACTGCAGTCTGCTCTTTGTAACAGCAGTGAACCTGGAATGCTAATACAGGAGACTACCAAGGAATGGCTAAGAGAGTAAAACAGGGTTAACACTGGCTAGCAGATTTGCTGGATGAAGGAATGGGAGCTGGGTAGTAAGCCGTCTGTGCTAATTTATTCTAATTCTTATATCATTAATATTTGAGAAACTGAATAACAATGGTCTTGGCAATTAAGGCCAAGAAAATATCAAGGAACAGAGACCCACAGACCCAGCTCTTCACACAATCAGACCAGCAGGCACCCGTAGTACATGATTTCAAGAGACTGGATGCACACGTGGCCCCCCAATGGCTCCCACACATCATCTTTCAGTTCAGGCCCAACTTTCACAGGCCTCTGTTAAATACAAATATTACCTGGAGACATAAGTCTCTGAGGAAACCACTTTATATCTGGGACTTTTGGTGTGCATGGTTGACAAGCATTGTTTTATTTAAATCTATTCTTAAAGTCCTTTAAGTGGTGGGCAGACATCAAGTTCTCAAAAACTGTGAGAGGCAGCTGAGCAAGGTCATAAACAATCTTCAATAAGTATATACAAAAAAAAAGTTTAACTACTGTTACAATTAGGGAAGGGAAATAGCTTTGACCAGTTGGAATACAGAAACTTAAAATGCTTCACATATGCCCTCTATAGTCACATCCAAAAAAGTAACAGAGATTTATAGCATATTTGTTTCCTTAATTTAAAAAAAAAAAAAAAGATGCAGGAAGGGGAAGTAAGTGTCTTGCCTAAGGACTCAAAGCAATAGTAAAAACACAAAATCAGGCTCTCAAAATAGCCAGGGGATTTGTGGATGTGGAAAGGCTTTAATCTTTCCTCCTCCAGCAATTTTAATCAGCCACGCTAAGGGGAAGAGAAAAAAGAGGTTTGGGGAACAAAGGTAGACTCTCACGGGCCAAAGAGGTTAGAGGCAGTTTGAAACCGGAAACCAGGGATCTGAGTAAAGTTCTAAACAGAAGAGAGACTGACAGGCAAAAATGTCAGTTTCCTGGAAGCCCAAAGCTTCTTCTGTGACGCTTTCCCGTGAGAAAGCTAAGAAGGAGGGCTGTGGATCCAGATGGCCTGGGTATGCTCTCCATCTCCGCCAGTGACCAGAGGTACTTCCACTACTAATTTCTTAGATGGATGGTAAACTCTCATTCAAATATTTTTTTTAAGATTAAAAAAGGTGTTAAGGCCACAGTGCAGCCCCTGCTGAAACACAACATGGTCAAGGGTTAGCCACTAGGTGCCAGCTTGGTTACTCACAATTCAGGATGATCTGGGCTGCGCGATATAGCTCCAGGTGGCACAGGAGGTCCAGCAACTGCTGGACAGTGGCCTGCCGCATCCCCCACCACCACAGCAGCTCCCGGGTGATGCTCACTCCCTGCACCCGCTCCATTGACTTGATCTTCCGCAGCTGGGTCAGGTCTGTGATCACAAAGGAGGCTGGAAGGCAAGTAAGAGGATCTGCTTAGGGTTGGAAAGGCAGTCCCGCCATGAGAGGGTCACTGTGCTAGCCAGGCTTTGTCCATAATATTTTCCCCATCTGCCCTCTACCATAACTGAAATTCCACCATCAGCTGGAGTCCACAGGCAGCCCAAGTTAAAATGCCAATTCCCTTTAATACCCACGGGCCCAGCACAGTAACACTTGAAGGTAAATATCAACTTTGCTGCCACAGAAGATTTAGGAGAAAAACCACTGGATGAGATTGTAGGGGGCCTTGAGCTTTAGCCGCTTATATGCGCTGAGCAACTCATTTCCCCAGTGGAGCCTGTTTTCTCAACTATAACAATGGAGTAACAACTTTGCCTGCCTCCCCTTCTAGAAGACTTGTGTAAGCAGGGAATTTTGTGTGTTCTGTTCACTGTTAGATATCCAAAACAGAGAACGATGCCTGACACAGAGTTGGGGAAGGGCCAGGACCCAGGTGAGGCAAGGGAGGCACCAAGGGTACAAAATTTAAGGAGGCACTCACTCTTAGGGCTGATTCTGTTCTTGTAGCATCTGCAGAGTAGGTGCCTCCTTATATTTTGCCCCAAGCATCTCATTCTTTTCACCCCTAAGTCCCAGCCCTGGCAGGCTGAACTTGAATGAATAAATGAATGAATGAACGAACGAAAGAACTCACCATCCTCACAGAACTGTTATAAAGATCAAGAGAGCCTGTGGATCTAAAAGCACTTTGCCAACTCTGAAGCACTGTACAAAATCTTCAGGGAAAAATCATTGGCAATACTAAAAATAATGCACTCCTTTTCATTTTTTATTATAAAGTTAATGGTTGTTCACTAAAGAAAACTTGGAAAATGCAGGGGGGAAAAACAAATAAAACAAGTTACACAGCATCCCACTAGGAACTTTCCCTTTCCAACCTCCTTCCCCACCCACACACACACATAGGTATGGTTCTAAATGCAGTTGCTGCCAGACTGTAAAACTTTGCATCCTGCTCTTATCTATTAACATTATACCATAAGCATTTTCTGAGATGTTATAAGCTATTCATAAATGGCTTTTTGAATAGTCAAATAGTATTCCACTGAGTTTACTGAAATGAGAAAAATATTTTTTAAAACTAGGAATAAAATAATCACACTCCAGTTGCACGATTTCAGAAATCACAGAGCAGGAATCTATGTGAACATCAAGTCATTCATTCATTCATTTGACAAAATATGATTGAGCACTACTGTGCTCCAGGTTTGTGACAAGTTCTAGACACCCTGTGGTGAGTAAACTAGAAGCCCATGGAACTTTTCTGTTTGAAAAATACAAAGATAATGAATTGAGTGAGGAAGGGTAGGCAAAAGATGAAGCCCAGGGCAACATAACGAGGGGCCTCGAATGCTGCTGGTCTAGGAGTCTGGACTCGATTCTAAGAGCCACAGATACCATGTTAGACCTCAGAGCCAGGAAGGACATGATCATGTTGCACAATCCCTCCTCCTCAAAAGGAGTGGGGAAAGTTGTGATAGCTTCCTACAGAAAGCCTCGAAAGTGCCCTGTGAGGATGGAAAGTTCTTTGAGTTGCAATTTCAGTCACTGGAAACCCCAGGCCAGATTCCAGATCAGTGGGAAATGATGTCATCAGGGTCAGGGGCTGCTTCCAGCAGCAGACAGAAAAGAACGTAGAGAAGTGTCATTCATGCTTCCCAGGCTTGGAGGTAGCACGATGCCATGGGAAAACCGGAAGCACAGAGCTGCCCCTGGTGTTCCATGGCCACAGGAACTCAGCCGTAGCCCTTAGCCTCTGTGGGTTACATTTCCTCACAGGCAGTGCAGGAGAAACAGGAATTAAACTCTAAGTCACCTTGTAGTATGGACATCTTAGCTCCATGAAAGTGATGTATCTTAAGATATTGACCTAGTAGCATATTACTAGACCTTTAAAACAAGGTCAAAATAAAATAGTGATCTTGGGATGATGAGGCATTGCTGAGGGCCCCACTATATCCACAGCTCTTTTCTCTACACACACGAGTAATACCTGGTCATTACAGAATATCTGGAAAACAGGAACTAATCAAAGTCCCCATGATATCACACTCAGAAGACCCCAAGAAAAGCACTGGTTATACTTTTGCTTCTAATCTTCCAGACTTTTTTATAGATATAAAAGTACATTCTTATGTCAACAAGATAGTCCAGTGATGGTCCAGGCCCAGACTTTGGATTCGAAGGCCTTGGTTCAAATCCTATCTCTACTACTTACTTGCCCTTTGCATATGCCTGTGCCTCAGTTTCCTCATTTATAAACAAGAATAACAACAGCACCTGCCTCAGAGGTTGTTGTGAGGATTAGATTAGTTATAGGTATATTAGCACTTGGAAATACTGCGTGGCACATAGTAAATGTGATACGAATGTTAGCTATTAATCCATTTACACTCTAAGAAACCCTGTCACTATCCCCACTGGTTAACGCCACATGGAGACCATCCCTCCAGGTCTGAGCTCCTGAATCCTGCAGGAATTCATTCTGTGCAGCAGAAAAGCTTGCCCGTCTTCAAAGCCCTCTGGAGCAGACCTGGCACAGCCTTCTGAAGTAACCTGCTCAAGGGTCAAATGTTCCCTGTCTGAACTAACAAGACTCCTCCCTGGTTGAGAGAAGGAAAAAGTGCTAAAACCTTCCCCACCATCATGTCCCCTAAGCCTCTCAGCAGTCATCCCTGTTTTACAGATGAGGAAACTAAAGACTCAGAGAGAAGCAGTCACTTGCCTGGTCACATAGCTAGGGCGGGGACAAAGCAGAGTTGCATACAAAAGCTGACATATGCATGAGTGAGCAAGATGGGGAGTGGTCCAACAAAAAAAGGAAGCTCTGCCCCTGGGCCCCTCAAAATACCCGAGGTGGGTGAAGCTACAAGAAGCCTATTTTCCTCCAAGGGCAAAAATGGATGCAGTTGCAATAATCAGAAAATAAACAGGAGGCAGCCACACTATCTTCCAATAACTGTCAAATCCAAAGAGCATGTGTATTTGTGTCAAATCCAAAGAGCATGTATATTTGTGGCCGTGTGATTTTCTAAGTCACTTTAAGGATCTTCATATCCCCATTCCCTGGGATCACAATCAGCCATAATGGACTTTCTTTTCTAAAATGACTCACAGAAGCCAAGACTCTTTAGGACTGGAAGGTCAATTGTAATTACTGGTTCTGCTGAAGAGTAAACCAAGAGAGTGCTGTGACTTGGCAAGCTAACTGGGGGCATGGCTGGCTCCCAGTCCAGTGGCCCCCAACTCAACAGGGAGAGCTGGCTGATCATGAGCTCAAAGCCATCTCTGTAGGGTGAGAAGTGGATACACCCCATGTCCTCACTTTTCCTACATCCTTCAGCTCATATTCATTCACGTGCTCACTGATATCTGCCCATGGCCAGGTGCACTTCTAGGCTCTGGGAATACAAAAGTGAACTAGATGGGTCAATTCTCTGCCTTCGTGGTGCTTACATTCTACAAGGAGAGACAGCCATAAACAAATAAGGAACAAGGTAATGCCAAAGCTTTTAAGTGGAATTAAAGAAAGAAAACAGTGATGGGACAGAGGATAACAAGGACAAGATAGGCCTCTCAAACAAGGTGACATATGAACTGAACCCTGAAGGACTATGGTCCTTCCAAAGATGTCAGTGTCCGAAACCCCAAAACCTGTGAATATGTCACCTCTTTGCAGACAGGATTAAATTAAGGGTTTTGAGATGAGATTATCCTAGATTATCTGAGTACACCCAATGTAATCACAAGGGTCCTTGTAAGAGAGGGAGGCAGGAGTGTCAGATTCAGAAAAGATATGAGGGCAGAAGTCACAAAGAGAGATTTGAAGATGCTCTGCTGTTGGCCTTGAAGGAAGAGAATGGACCACCAGTCATGGAATACAGGCAACCTCTAGAAGCTAGAAAGGCAAGGAAATGGATTCTCCCCTAGGCCCTCCAGAAGGAATGCAGCCCTGCAGACCCCTTGATTTTAGGACTTCTGACCTTCAGAATTATAACATAATAAATCTGCTGTTTTTAAGTCATTAAATTTATAGTAATTTGTTACAGTAGCAAGAAGAAACAAATACAGGCTAGAAAGCCAGCCATGGGGAACATGGGAAAAATGTCTCAGGCACAGGCCTTGAGCCTGGACCAAGGAGGTTAATGTGGCTAGAGCAGAATAAGCAAAAGGATGTGGGGGTAGAGGAGGTCAGAATCAATGGGGTCAGATTGTGTCAGAGCAGGCAGGCCTGGTGAGAAGTCTGGATTATATTCTAAATCACAATGGGAAGCCTCTGAGGACTTTGAGCCTAAAAAGACAGAGGTATTCGCCCAAACAGGATGTACAAAGGGCCAAGATACTAAACATCATTAGTCATTAGGGGAATGCAAATCAAAACCACAACAAGACACCAGGTCATATGTGTTCCAATGGCTAGAATCAAAAAGATAGACAATAACAAGTGTTGGTGAGGCTGTGGAAAAACTAGAACCCTCATACACTGCTGATGGGAATGTAAAATGGTTCAGCCACTTTGAAAAACAGTCTGGCAGTTCTGCAAAATGAGTAACCTATGACTTAGTAATTCTCCTCCTAGGTGTCTTCCCAAGGGAAATGAAAATGTATATCCACACAAAAACCTGTACACAAATGTGCACTAGAGCATTATAATAGCCAAAAAGTGGAAAGAACCCAAATGTCCATCAACTGATGACTAGATAAATAAAATGTGGTACATCTATACTATAGAATATTATTCAGTAATAAAAAGAAGTTAAGCACTGATCATGCTACATCATGGATGAACCTTAAAAATATGCTAAATGAAAGAAGTCAGTCACAAAGGACCACATATTGTATGATTCTATTTAAATGTCCAGATTAGGCAATGCCTAAAGCAGGGGGAAATGGGAGGTATGTGGGGAACTGTGGGGGTGATGGTTAAGGGGTACAGGGTTTCTTTAGGGGGTAATTAAAATGTCCCAAGATTGTAGAGACGGATGGACAACTCTGTATATACTAAATGCCACTGAATTGTACAATTTAAGTGGGTGAATTGTATAGTATGTGAACCTATCTCAATAAAGCTGTTTTAAAAAAAAGTCATAAGTGCACTTTCTAAATGAATACCCTAGAAACAGAAGTTGTTCTGGCATTCATAATTGAGGCCCACATGAAAAAACTAGAGGGAGTCTCTTACACAAAGTTTGTCCACTGCCCAGGAAACATTCAAAGTAGTTAAATCACAGATCGTCAAAGCAAAGAAACACAGTGCAGTCTAGAAAATCAAGTAGCAATAGGTATTCTCAGAAGTGCCCTGACATGTTACCAGTGACTGCCTCTAGGGAGAGGAACAGGGAGGCTGAGGACCAGAGCAGGGAAAGGTAGTTACCTTCCTCTATCATAGGTGTATTATTTACATCATTTAACCTAGTGTGTTTGTTACTTTTCCTCATGAAAATAGTTAATAAAAAATGCACTGAAAATAAATCCATGTTGTTAAAGAATATTGCTTGGCAAGGACAAATAATTATGACATATTTTAAGTGGAAAAAGTAGGCTATTAGAATGTACAAAATGATATGATTGTTAAAATATGCATACACATAAAAATGTTTATTAAAAAAAAGGCTAGAAGGCAGAAAACACGTAGCACTCTGCTAGCCCATAGCAAGGAGCCAATGTTAGCCACTGTTGTTGTTTTATTATTATTGGCATCCAAATATTAAAAATGGTTATCCCTGAGTGGTGAAATTTGAGCTTTGTTCATTTATGTCCCACAGTACTTTGAAATACACATTTATTATTTGTGTTACTGGTTTAAAACAGGGTTTCTGAACCTCAGCACTACTGACACTATGGGTTAGATAACCTATGCATTGTAGGATGTTTAGCAACATCCCTGGCTTCTACCCACTGCATCCCCCAAGTTCTGACAACCAAAAATGTCTCCAGACATTGGCAAACGTTCCCTAGGGGGCAAAATCGCCCCTAGTTGAGAACCACTAAGTTAAAATATATATTATTTGTTCAAACTGGATGCATAACACGTGTTCATTTTATTGTTCTCTCAACTGTACATATATATTATATACTCTTGTATAAGTGCCATGTGTCATAATCTAAATTTTAAAGAAGATATATATTTTAAAAATAAAGTGGCATGAGTTACATTGACTTAAAACATAAAACTAAGAGTGATCATGGTTACTTATTACTTCCTTATTACTTACAAGATCTCTGACATTTAGGTGTCAGGTGCTTTTTGTACAATTTTCATTCCTCCCAACAACCTCCAGTTTACAGATTAAGAAGCTGAGGCTCAGAAAAGTTATGTAACCCACCCCAAATCACCAGCTGGGCGGTAGTGGACCTGGAATGCAAACCTCTGCTTGGGAACAGGAGGACCACAGGGGCAGTCTCCTCCTAGACGCCATGCGCTCTCAGCCAATCAGGTGTAAACAAACAAAACACACCCAGAAGTTACAATGTTCTGGTAAAGCCAGGCACTGGGTTTAAATCTGGTAAAGCCAGGCACTGGGTTTAAACCATTTAGCAAGGCCATGGCCCGAGGCAAGTGACACTACCTCTCTAAATCCGGTTCCTCGTCTATAAAATGGGGTTAATGGAGGTACCTTATAGGCTATGGGAACTAAACGAGTAATCCATGTTAAGTGCTTACATCAGGGCCCGGCACACAGCACACTGATAGCTTATTTTACCTGCTAATAGCTATTATCTAACCTTTACTGTAAGCAGCAAAGTTGAGATGGTCATTACTTAGCGACAGACTGACAGCAGACATCTTCAAAGATCACATAATGCCTCCCAGATGATAGCACTGGAGTCCAGAGATGGGGCAGTGGCCTGTCCGCGGTCACACAGCGAGGCCTGAGTCCACATGGCCACACGTAGGGCCCCGCCCCTCGAATCGCGACCCCACGGAAACAGAGGCGAGGAGGGGGCTTGGAGGACCACCCCAGGCGGGATCGCTAGGGGGCCCACTCACCGAAATGCATCCAGTCCCACTCGCTGAGTGTGTCCATGTTGCGGCACAAGTCGTCCAGCACCCAAGAGGGTAGCTGGTAGATGTAGCAGGACATGGCTGGGCTGCCAGGGCGGGCGGAGAGGCGGTCGGGCGACTGAGCCAGACACGGCTGGACTTGGCTTCTCTACCCGGGGGCGGGCCCGTCCTACCGCGCCCCACCACCCAGAAAGTGGGCGGGCCGGCGCGGGGCACCACTGCCCCCCAGCGGCCACGAAGAGCGGGACACCAACCAGCTGGCTAGATCTGAGCCAGGGCGAAACCAAAAGGGTCAGAGCTGTGAAGGAAAACGGAGGCCTAGAGTGGAGAGGCAACACGTTTAAGGCCACACGGAATTCCGTGGCAGTATCAGGATGCTTTCTGACCCCACTTTCAGTGCTTTTGGCGCTCTGCCACTTATAATTTATTCAACAAATATTCTATTAATTACCTACAATATCCCAGGCACTGTTCTAGGTGTTGGGAGCTAGGTACGTGGAGAAAACCTTTTATAAGTCTTTGTTTTCATGGGACTTACAATCTAGATGAGGGGGAACTAGCAATAACTAATAAAAATACTGATTAACTAAGTTACATTGTATGTTAAAAGATAGTAAGTGCTCTTGCCAAAAAGGAAAAGGAGGGGGACTAGTCGAGATAGACTCTGTCATAATAATGGCTAATGTTTATTGAGCAGCTACTATGTGCCAGGCACCGTTCTAGGTGCTGGGGACATCTCTGAACAAAATCCCAGGCCTTGAGCGGGCAGACAAGGGGCAATAAAAATGCAAAATAAGTAAACAACTTAGCATTATAGAAGATGATAGGTAATTTTAGAGAATGAAAGAGTATGATGAAAGGAAGCTGGGGTGGCTAGTTGCATATTTATTATCTTAGAAGGTGATAAATACTATTGGAGGAAAGCAGAACAAGGTAAGAGGGACTGAATTATTAAATAGGGTAGGAGAACTTATACGAATAATGGCTAGCATTTATTGAACAGACTTCACCTGGGTTATTTCACTATTCCCCACAATGACCCCATAAAGTAGGTGTGGTTATTACCCCTATTCTACAAATGAGGAAACTGAGGCAAAGAGAGGTTAAACAACTTGCTTAAACTCATACAGGTACAAAGTAGCAGAGCCGAGACTTGAACCCTAGCAGTCTGACCACTGGCTACGAATTACTTCTTTATTACAATAGCTACCATTTATCTACACCTACAGGGGCATAAATCATTTTATGTAACTTTCATAAGCCTATCCTGTAGATATTATCCCATTTTTACACAGAAGTAAATAGGTTCCCAGAAGTTAGGTAACATCATCAAAGACAGATAAGAAAAACTAGCGTGCCACTTTGCAGCTGTAAACATCAGCTGTTGAGTATGCCTGCTGAAAAAGGAACCTGAAATGAAAGTGAGAAGTCCTGGAGTCGAGTCCTACTTCTGCCAAAAACAAGCTTTTGTAACCCTGGACAAACCATTTCACTTCTCAAGCCTTGCTTTACACATTCTTGCTGCTTACAGTTGTGTAGGAGAGATGTGGATTAAAGCAATTTATATATCCCACATAAAACACCTATTCCAGGGTCTTGCTTGCAGAGAATGTGTTTAAACAATGGTAGAATTTATAAAATTGAAAAGTGCACAGGGAAGAGTGCTCCACTGCTTCTGAGGCACTGTACTCCCCCAACACATAGAGGGTTTTCCCTTGAGTAAAGGACATCAAACTCATTTTAAAAAGAAAAGAGTACCCACTGGCCATAGATTCCCTTCAGCTAGAGTCCAAGTTTAGCTCTTTTATCTGTCTGGCTCTTTATTCTTGAGCAAGATAAAATTTGTATTAAATTTTTTGTAAATTGGGTATTCTGCCCCAACCATTTTTCAGGATTGCTATGAATGGACCTCAAAATGCTTGGGATAAACTACAAAGTACCGAGCCCAGTAAAGGATTGCTTTTATGTGAGTCTACCTCCTTGATGATGGACGTGGGGCATGTTTCAGTGTTCTGAGACTGCTTTTCAGGGGAAGTTCCATGTTTCAGCAGTGATTGGAATTTTTGGTGGAGAAGCTTCAGTGATGGTCTGACCAAGGCTGAGTGGGAAAGCACCTACATCCCAGGGCAAAGGAGAATAAGGGCCCTCTTCTTTTTCTCCTTTTCTCTATTTGCAAAGCCCTCCACCTGCTTCTCCCTCTCTTCTGCAAGCACAGAGCATGTGGCTTTGTAGCACTCCTCCCTTAGTGCCATGGGGCCTCTTGTGCTTGATGAGGCTTTAAGACCACAAGTTTGCATTCAGCCTGGCCAGTCAGGGACAGCCGAGCCCACGCAGTTCCTCTCTCTACTATCTCCTTGGGCTCTTAGCAAGTTTCCTTCTCACCCCATCCTCAGGATTGGGGATCTGAGTCCTAAGATTTTCTCCACCAGAGAAGCTTGCTTGAGTAGTGCAGGAGCACATCTTGGTCCTCATCCTTTAGGATAAGTTCTTCAAAGTAAAGTCTTTGCTATTACTAGTGAATAGAGTTGCCACTCACTACCAAGCACCAGGCATTTAGCATACATCATCTGGGATCTTCACAACTACCCTATAAAGTAAGTTTATCCTTCCTGTTCTACAGATGAGGAAACTGAGGCTCAAGGCAATTATAACTTGGTCAAACCAAATTGGCCAAATGACAGGATTCAACACAAGTCTGACTCCAAAGGAAGTGCTCTTTCTGTTCTATTATGTGACCACAAAAATTTTCCCATGATCCTGCACAGTTCACTTCTTCCTCTAATTATCCATTTCCATGGCCAACACCCTCCCTATCAAGATCAGTTAGAAACAATTGAGACTGAATGTAATTACATAGTTATATCATATGATTTGTTCACATTAAATTCTCTTGAAATGACAATCAGTAGTTTGCAGTCCTTGCTGCACATCAGAATTATCTGGGGAGATTTTAAAAACTATACATGCCCAGCTCTACCTCCAGAGACCCAGACTTAATTGTTCTGGGGTGGGGCTGGCATTTTTTTTTCAGTCAAGTTTATTGGGGTAACATTGGTTAATACAATTATATAATTTTCAGGTGTACATTATAACTTGACATTTGTATATTCTATTGTGTGTTTACCACCCAAAGTCAAGTTTCCTTCAGCTACCATATATTTGATCCCCTTTCCCACTTACCGTCGTCCCCCTTTCCCCCTATATTGGGGCTGGCATTTTTTTAAAGCTTACAAGTAATTCTAATTATGAGCAGGCAGAGTTGAGAAACAGTGTTACATCAAGAAATTGGGGCATAAAAAAAGTAATAAAGAGGGAATGACAATAATAAAACTTCTCTATGGACTTTGCACATATATTTATTGTTTAATAAAAATATCTTTATTGGTTTTTCTGACAGTAAATGACCATTGTCCAAAAAAAAAGAAGGGAGTGAATTAGGAAAAAACCCACACTAGTCTTTCCTCCTCCTATGTAGGAAAAACCCAGTTCTGCCTTCTGTGCATTTCTCCTGTCTGGGATAGGGTAGAGGGGATTCCCACCCCTCTACCCTTCTTTACTTCTTATGGCTAGACTAGTAGTAAAATAATTAGTTTGACATAAAATTAGATTAACAGGAGAAAAAACAATATGTATACACAGGAAAATCACAATATGATTCTCAGTTCATAAAATGAGGTTCGAAGAAATGATTGAACTGGATACCTTTTATATTATTTAGAAAAAGAAAACAAAAAAATGCTAATTAGAAATCTAAGCAAGGTTTGGGTATTCGTTAATGAGGAATTTAAACAACGTAGGAAGTTGGAAAAGAGGCAATAGATTTGACTACACAGACTTTTTGGTTCTGACTTAATTCTAGAGGTATCTTCCAGGTACAGCGAGGACACCTTTCACAGAGGAGATTTATTTCCTGCATTCAAGGAGATAGGGGAGGGTCAAAGTGCCCTTTTGGCTGCTGATCAAGTAACTTTAATTCAATGTAATCAATATGCCATCGTGAGCTATTTTGGGACAGCCTGTCATGGGCCCTGACATTACTTTTACACAGAACACTTCTGACACTTTTGGGCCCCGACATTACTTTTACACAGAACACTTCTGATCACCAAACATGTGGGTTTTTTCCCCAAAAATCAAGTCATTCTCTGTGACAACTGCTGCATGTCTTATAATTTAACTCAGTTCTGACACTGTCCACTTGGAAATAGCGTCAGATCCCATAGATTAGGAGATCCCCACAAGACTGTTCCCACCCCAATTCAGATGCCAATCACAAGTAGCAGGTCCCCAGCTTACCATAACTCTGTCCCACTTTGCTACAAATTGGAAGTTCCCATGACTTCCTCCTCAGTTTGTTAATTTGCTAGTGTGGCTCACAGAACTCAGGGAAACATGTTTACCAGTTTTAAAAGAATATGATAAAGCAAGGGTCTCTGACCCCTGGGGCTGCAGACCGGTACTGGGCTGTGACCTGCTAGGAGCTGAGCCACAGAGCATGAGGTGAGCAGCAGGCAAGCCATCGAAGCTTCATCTGTATTTGCAGCTGCTCCTCCAGCACTAGCATTACCACTTCAGCTCCACCTCAGATCATCAGGCATTAGATTCTCATAAGAGCACTGGTCCTTGGTGCCAAAAAGGTCGAGGACTGCTGTAAGGATGGAAATGAACAGTTGGATGAAGAAATACATAGGGCAAGGTTTAGGAGGGTCCCCAGCACAGGAGCTTCCAGAACTATGGAGTTGGGGCATGTTACCCATTTGATGTGGATGGGAGTTGGGGTGTGTTACCCTCCCAGTGCGGATGTGTTCACCCACTTGGAAGCTCTCTGAACCTCGCACTACTGGGAATTTTATGAAGTTTTCCTTATGTAGGCATCATCGATTATTTATGTAATAAAGAAAACAATCTATTTAGTGAGATTTTACTATTTCCAACATTGAATTATTACCAATAACTCTAAAACAAGCATCATCAATTATTAATCCATATCAGGCCCTCTCCCCTCTCTGGAGAAGTAAGGTGTGGGGCAAAGCTGAAAATTCCAAGCTTCTAATCATGGCTTGGTCTTTCTGATGACCAGCCCCAACCAGGAGCCCACCCAGGATCACCTCACTAGAACAAAAGATGCTCCTAGTGCTCTTACCACTTAGGAATTTGCAAGGCTTCCAGGAGCTTTGTGCCAGGAACCAGGTTGGGGGCAGAAAACTATGTATTTTTTTCTATTATCTCAGAGAGGGAAAGGGAGGGGGAAGAACAACAGCTTTCCATAAACTCATCCCTGGGGGACCATTATTAATAATTTGGAGTATATAATTCCACACGTTTAGACCTCTATAAAATTAATTTTTTAAACACAATTTTAAAAAAACACATTAAATTTTTTGTAAACTTTCTTCAATCAATAATAAATAGCTCTTAATGTCAATAAAGAAACATCTACCTTTTCCTTCTCAATGTCTTATTTAGGAACACCATATTTTATTTGGCCAATCCCCCATCAATGTATATTTCCAATATTGGGTCTGTTCCAGAGGGGTCTGCTTTCTCATCTATGAGAAGGGTAGTACAGTCCTAACATCTATCAATGAATATCATATACCAATATTTGGAAACCTACACTGACACATCACCCAAAGTCTATAGTTTATCTAGGGTTCACTCTTAGTGTGTACATTCTATGAGTTTGGATAAATGTATATTGTATAATATAGTACATACTATATAGTATCATACAGAAGAGTTTCACTGCCCTAAAAAATTGTGATCCACCTTTTCATCCCTCTCCCCGCCAAATCGTGGTAACCACTGATCTCTTTACTCCATAATTTTGCCTTTTCTAGAATATTGTATAGTTGGAATTATACAGTATGTGACCTTTTAGATTGGCTTTTTCACTTAATATGTATTTACATTTCCTCCATGTCTTTTCATGGTTACAGCTCATTTTTCTTTAGTGCTAAATAATATTCCATTGTCTGGATGTACCAGTTTATTCATCCATTTACCTACTGAAGGGCATTTTGGCTGCTTCCAAGTTTTGGCAATTATGGATAAAGCTCCTATAAATATCCATATGCAAGGTTTTAGACATAAATTTTCAATTCCTTTGAGTAAATACCAAAGAGTACAATTGGTGGATTTTATGGTAAGAATATATTTAGTTTTGTGAACCACCAAACTGCCTTCCAAAGTGGTTGTACTATTTTGCATTCCCACCAGCAGTGAATGAGAGTTCCTGTTACTCCACATCCTCGCCAGTATTTGTGAGTGTTACAGATTTTGGCCTTCTTAATAGGTACCATGTGATGTGAAACATCTTTTCATAAGCTTAGTTGCCTTCTCCGTACCTTCTTCAGTGAGATGTGTTAAGGTTGGTTCTGTTTTCATGAAAGGAAAAAAAAACTTTGTTCCCAGTATCAATACTTTCTTAATACTCTTCTGTAGTGCTTAAAATTTTTTTTACAGTGATATTTCATTTAGGAGAAAAATAAAGCTAAAAGAAACAATTTTTTTAAAAAGCCAGGGCTAGAAAGAGACTGAGAATGAAACTAGTTGCTTATATTTGCTACCTGGCTCCCCACTTTAAGCCTTTAAACAAACACAGCTTTCACAACTCTCCAAGAGAGAAGAACATGGTTAAAATAACACCATGACACACCCTATTTCCTTTACTCAGCACCATTTAATGTATTAAAGAACAGGGGGTTTTTTTAACTCAAAATAGGAAACATCACAGTCTTTTAAGAGCAATACATTTAATACATTCATAAGACTTCAAATGAAAAACATATTATTCATGCTACAGGTTTTCAATCTTCCTTGGACAACAAAAAACACAGTACTCAAACTACATGTTTTATTAAGGGGAACATAAAATTTCATTGACACAAGGGTTAAAAAAAAGAAAAACCAACTAATCCAGTATCAGCAGACTTCCTTAAATCCCCATCCTATCCCACTCCTGAACTCCATCAGCTGCCTTCTGTACCCGTACTTCTTCTCTACCCAATAATTCAACACAAAAAAATTTAGATATTTAGAAGTGTGTCACTGAATGAGTACTACAACATGCTAAAAAAAAAAAAAAAAAAGCCAACTTATTTACAGAATGTTAGAAGAGGGGTATAAGATTAGGTGAAAATTAGAGTATAATGGGAAAACTGGGATATTTGTTTCACTTCACTTTTTTCAGAGCACAAGAATTGTACTCAAAGGTTAGCATAAGGGAACTGAAGATACCAAGAAATAGTCTAAAATTATTTACAAAAGGAAGACCGACCATACTAATGTCTATTAAGAGCTTATAATGCCATGGAAAAATATTTAAATTACAAAGTTAAATGAGAAGAAAGTAGAATACAAAACTGTATGCACAAATGACTTAACTATGTAAAAACCAACCAACCAAAAGTTGCCTTAAAAAGGGTTGAAACTTCAAAATGTTGTTAGTGGTTATATTTTAGTAGTGTATCTACAGAGATCTTTTTCTTCCTTTTACTTTTCTGACTTTTCCAAAATTTTCTTTGCTGGATTTTTTAAAACTACTCCACTGTGTGTGAAGAGTAACTTCCCAGAGGTTAGAGGGCTTTGGCCTCTCCCAGAGCCAGATGCAAAGTGTCACCAGATGCTGCCTGATGAAAAATGCTGAACCAAACAGGAATGTCATGGATTTACCAAATAAAACAGAAATACCCATACTTGGCAAAACCGTATTTACAGTATGGTAGTAGCTCCTTAATACTAGAATTAAATAAGAGGACAGCTATTTTTTCCTACCTTCTGTGCAGATGCCAAGTTTCACAAAAGCTATCGTCACAACTTTAGAAAGCTAATCCTCGATTAGAAACAAAAATAAAACATCACTGTAACAACAGTAAACAGAGAAAAGCACAAAATTTAGAAAATTATAAAAAGTGCTTTCTATAAAAATGATTCCCTTTAAAACATTTAATTCTGTACACACTTTAAGGTTCCCCTCCTATTCTCCCCCCAAAAAAGAGCAAACCCTCCAAACACTTTCTACCAAAGTATCCATTGGTTTGTTCATTCAACAAACACTGATAAAGGCTCAAAATGTGTGAGGCACTGGGGTCTCAAAGAGGAGAGATTTGTCCCTGCTTCAAAGATATCTTAGTCTTCTCAAAGTGAGAGGCAGACACATCACCAACCACAATACATCAATTTAAAGCAGATACCGCTGCTTTCTTACAATCAAAGAATACGTTGCAATTCTCACTGAATTACTTACATGAAAGTCCTTACACAGAAACTTTCCTGACTTACTAAGAGGCAAAAATGAAACTACTTACCCTTGATAAATACTTCTAAAAAGGGCAGTCATTAAATTACATTTTGTGATCTTTACCCCTAAAAATCACAATACCTAGTGAAGTCAGTTAACTTCCTTTTAAGCAATGGAGCATTTTTTACTCCAAGAATGAGACACTTTGAAACTGCAAATAAGTGATCCTGTATCTAGATCAAGGCTAGTCAGTTCCATCTAAAGCTGAGTCTCAGGAGAGCAAATTTCAATTAAAATCTTCAGTCTCCTCTTCCATTCGTTGATTTTCAATATGCTCCTGTGTCAGTCGCTCCAGGTCTTTCCTTACATTTGGGTGGTCTTCCAGATCTTCGTAGAGTGATCTCACGATGTCCAATCTCCTGTAATTTTCAGGCTTGACTAGGCTTCGGACAACCTGGAGGCATCGTTCTTTCAGGGTATACACTGTAAGGGCAGAAAACCGAATCTTCAGCAGCAGACTCAGGCAAGCCTTGGGATGAGGGATGAGCAAGAGGCTTTTCCAGCCATAGCAATTACACTTACTTCAGATGGACCTCACTTTGGGGAAAAAAAGCAAGTACACGTGTCGTGGCAGAGTGTAACATAAAGACCCCAATGGACATTTCATGCTATTCATGACCTTGTGTAGTAACTTCCCCTTGCAAGTAGGCTGGGCCTGTGATGTGCTTTAATAACTGAATGTAGGTAAAGTGACACTGTAGTAACTCTGGGCCTAAACCTTAATAAAGCCTGGCAACTTCCACTTTTACACTCTCAAAAGCCCTGAGCTACCCTACAGGAGAGACCACACAAAGAGGGACAAGCACTGAGCCTATATAGGAGAGAGGCCCCAGCCAAGCTGCCAGAAAAAGGGAGCCACACCAATGACCACCAATGAGCAGAGTAACAACCCAGCTGAGCTCAACCCAGACTGCAGAATCATGAACAAATCAAATGGTTGTTAGTTTTGGGATAGTTGTCACACAGCAATAGATAAATAAAACAATACATACTTAGATTTTGGGGGAACTTAAATCTGATTTTATATTCACTGGGAAACTTACTCTTTAAGGGTATCCCATGAGGCAAAATATATTCCATTTAACTTATCAATGGTCATTTTTGTATACCCACTTCCTTAAAACAGGATCTATATATACATATTAGTTTGAACCTTATGAAGCTACATGTTTTTTTTTTAGTCCACAAGAATATCAGTTTCTTAGAATTCAACCTAATAATATCACTCGAGTTTTAAACAAATGGTAAACTATGTTGCTAATGTTCAATTGGGTGATTTTTTTTTAACCCCTGATTGGCACTGTGAGCTTTACTAGGTTAAATAACATTAAAAGATACAATACTAGAAGTCATATAAATAAGCCGTGATATAACATTCTCTACACCTTGTTCTTTCCCCAAGACTCCAGGGAATAATTCTGCTCTAAGACCAGGGAAACAAAAAACATTCATCATTCTACAGAGTTTTAATTCAGCCCACTTCTGACAAGCCCAAAGGGCCTTTGAGAGACCATGACATCTTTGCTCAATACAGAGCCTACAAGTACATTACTTATTAATAGTGGAGAATAGGACAAAGAAAGGATAAATACCTTGCTGAGCATCAAACAAAAATCAGTAAGGGCTTGGCTCTTGCATGTGGCCTATACTCTACTTAGTATAACAGCCTTATCTTTTTAAAAAGATGGAACATCAGTACCTGGCAGTGTGATGTTGGCAAAAATAGGCTGTCCATCAACATTAAGAGATGGCACAAATAGTTCAGTTTGGTT